GTAATTATCGCGCCTGCCAGCGCGGGTGTCAAGGCTGCGCTACTGCCACGGGTGCGCAGACGGACTCTTGAGCGGCCTGCTCGCCGCATACCCGCTTTGCCTTTCATTCGGGATCCCCGCAGACCGCGCCAGGGGGGAGGTCATCCCACCGCCCTTGCGAGGTACTTGTTGCGGGGCGCCTGAAACCTCGGGGCCTGGACAGACCTGCTGTCCGAAGTGTTGCGCGCTCTTTTTTTTTTTCTCTCTCTCTCTCTCTCTCTTTCCCTCTCTTTCTGTCTCCGAAGGTCCCGACGGCGGCACCTTCACCGTCTACACCGGCCCAGACTGCAGTCAATGGGTGTATGCGGGCACGGAAGGGGCCTGTTCGCACCAAGCCATCCCATTATTGGCGGTGGCTGCCCTTCGTGTCTACAGAGGCAGCGGGCATCGCCTAAACCACTCTGCCCGCGTCCATGGACCCACGCAGATCGCGAAGCGAGCCGAGACCTTGGCCCTGCTCCACCTTGTCGCCACGGCCGAGCGGCCTGTCCACATCTCCCTCGACAACAAAGCCGTGGTCGACGGGTTTCAACGGCTTCTGGACGGCCACCCCCCGCCGCCTGACGGGGCGCAGAGCGACCTGTGGTCCCGCACCCATCGCTGCGTCCTTGCCAAGTCAGACCTCTTCAGGGTCGAAAAGGTCACTACCAGTACCATTGCGGAGGAGTTCTTCAACCGCCAAGCCGACCACCTGGCCACCGACGCGGTCCCCCTTCACCACCTGCCTTCTCCCCTGATCGACGAAGCCAAACAGCGCCACCGCTTCGCCGTTGTGCTGCATAGCGTCTCTGTCGCCATCTGCGGCAAGCGACACCGCACCCTCCCGCTACCTCACACACGAGCGGGCTACATCAACGCCCAGCTGGACAAGCTTGAGCCCAGCCCCATGCTCTCTGCGGCGGCCGCGCCCAGCGGCCACCAGCGGCTCCCGGAGGATCTCGACGACCCCTGGGAGGAAGCTCGACACCTCGCCGACTCCGAGAGCGATGATGACGTGGACCCATTCGGCTTTGGCGGAGGTATGGACGACCTCGACGCTCCCAATATCCACGCCCCGATGCCACCAGGCCTCACTCGCCCCCCAGCGACTGGCCCAGGGGCGCCGACCGCTGCCGTGCCCGCTGGTGAGCCTGGCTCAAAGCCCCCCAACAGCATTGCTGTTGCCGCCCCACGCCACGGTGAGGGCCCAGGGGCACCGACCGCAGTCGTGCCCACTGGCGAGCCGGCCCCGCCACCGCCCCACTGCACCGCCGCCGCCGACTTGCACTACGGCTCTGGTCCCGATGACGAGGCAGACCCCTTCGGCCTCGGGAGCAGCAGGAACGACGAGGACACCAGTTCCCCGTCGCCCCAGGCCACGGCTATCCACGTCCTGGCCGCTGAGTCCGACACAGGGACTAGGGCTCAGCCGCTTCCACCAGCTCCATGCGCCCCTGGCTCACTTCGCGCCGCCCCGTGGCGGTCGGGCGCTCGCCTTACCACGCCCAAGCACGAGCGCCACGCCGACCTGGCCAGTGGGCCTCCCACTGCGGTAGCTGCTGCCAGCAGCGCTTCTGGCCTGGCCCCCCCCTCTGCCGCCCGCCAGAGCCGAGCCGAGCCGCCTTGGCCAGGCACCCCCCTGTTGGCCGATGGGCCCCCAAGGCGACGCCCGCCGTCGCACCCGAGCCCGAACCAGTGCCCACGCGAGGCATTGACAGCCGTGCGGGCCTCGCCACGCAACTCGCCAGCAGGGTCCGCGTCCTGCCCAGGGTCGAGCCGCAGAGCTCCAGGCGTCATACGACCACCTGAGTCCGCAGTACACCGCGCTTGCGCGCCAGGTTCGCCCTTTGACCTCCCAGCAGGGCCTGCTTATGCAACGCCTCCACCGCGCTCAGGACGCCCTCGCCTCCCTCCGACCCTCGCCTCCGCCCGAGTTGGCGTCGCCCGTCTCGACGCCGCATGACCTCCCTGGTGCCGTGCATACCCGCGTAGGGCATCCACCACGGCCGTAGGTCCCAGTTCTTGCCAGCCCAATTGCCCGCGCGGCCACGCGTCATCGGGGCCTGGCTGCGGCGGCGGGGGACGCCCCGTCGTTCGCAAGCCGCTCAACGGTCAAGCCCTTGTCTCTCGGCCGCCAATCAGGGCTTCGCCGACCTGGGCCATTTTTCCACGCGGGGCGCCGAGAGACTTTGCGCATCGCCTGCTCAGCACCCCGTCTCTTGCTATAGCCGCCCAGCACCAGGGGGTAGTTGTTTCAACATCCCCAGTTCCCCTAGGTGCGCACCACCGCCAAGAGTGCGATGGCGGCCTCAGCTACCCCAGTAGCCAGCTGTCGACGGGACTCTCGTTTATATGTCCGATCTCCATCTCTCTCTCTCTCTCTCTCTTTCTCTCTGTTTCGCCATCCCTCTCTCGCTCTATCTCTCTCTCTCTCTCTTTCTCCTCCTCCTCCTCCTTTCTCTCTGTCTCTCTCGTTCACTCCCTCTCTCACTAGATGTTTTGTGCATTCTTCTCTCTATATTATGTGTATATATATATATATGTATCACTTTCTCTCCCTCTCTTTCTCTCTATGTCTCTCCCCCTCTCGTTATCATTATCTCCCATCCTCCCCCTCTGCCCACCCATCTGCCTGCGGCAAGTCCCTCCCCCGAGCCAGCCTGGCACTTTTTGGTGGCAGATGCTCGAACCGATGTTGATGCTGATGATGATGATGACGCTTATGAGGGTGATTTTGAGAGGATGGGAGGGACGATTGGGCGAGAGGAAGGAATATTTCTGTGGCAAAACTGGTGGTGATGATGGTTGTGGCGAACACAAGGATGAGGACAATGGTGGTGATGCTGATGATGAAACGGATGAGGAGGAGGAGGAGGAGGAGGAGGAGGAGGACGACAAGGAATTAGAGAGCCGTCACATGCGACACCTCTGGTAGTCATTCTCGAGGGGCCCTAAGCGCAACATGCGAGCCGTCTTGGGACCGACCACTGCCCTTTTGGGGCATTATTGGGGGAATATAGATTGGATCGTCTTGGGGCCCTCTTGCGTCTTGCGCCGCCTTGAGACTCTCATGGGGACTTTTCTGGCCGTCTGGAAGGTCCCAGATTGGGATGTGTATTCTACGAGCGCTTTTCGGTTCTTCTGCTCCTGGGAGGCCCTGGGAGAGAATGAATTGTTTTCGGAAATATTTTCCGGGAGTGCTTTCCACCGTAGGCTTCGTTTCCGTAGGCGTTGCCTTCAAAGGCTTCGCCGCCGTCTCCTCGGGCACGAATCTTTTCGGTTTAGCGGGTGTTCCAACACATGTTCCTCCCTTGGGACTCGGGTCATTCGTGTTTTACGCCTGCTCTTGTGCTTCTCTCCTGGGGCTCGAACCCTTCGTGTTTCGAACCCCCACCGCTCCCCAAAGTCGTACTGATTGTCTGTGTCGTGCGAGCTGGAAATGGGAACCTGCCTCGTAAGCGGTGTTGGCTCGAACTCCTCGGGCGGAAGATCTCTCTGTGGGAATTTCGCCCTCTGTTTTCAAACAGTTCCCCCTAAGAGGGGGTTGCATCATGGCGCATACATGTAGCACGCAGATGCATGGCGCATGAGGGTAAGTTGATTGATGCATTTTCACTTCCGGTACATATATATATATACAGATATGATTGAACCCCCCTTCCCCGGCTCCCATTTCGTTTTTCAATTGAAGTGCCCCGCCCGGGGCTCGAATTGTTTTTTATCAGGGGAATCCGTGGGGCTCAACCGGTTCCCTGGGCCACCAGTTTACGACAACCTTGGCTCGCGCTTGATACACCCGCTCGATGTATTGAGGAATCGCGCTCTCGCGTGGGATGTCCTTGCAATTTGTTTTAGGAATCGCTCTCTCGCGTGGATCCTCGCAGTTTATTGACACGTCGCGCCCCCCACACTCAGGAATGATTTTCTCACAGTGGAGTTCGCTACGATTTACTTGGGAATCGCGTTGTCGCCCGAGACTTCCTCGCGATTCATGCTTGCCGAACGCTTCAGCGACCTGCCCGACCGACCCCGCCGTCTGGGCCCGCCCACCCGATCCGCCCGTAAGGATCCGCCTGGCCGACCCGCTAATCTGGTTATACCGCTTGTTTTACTACGCCGAACCCCATTCTTGTTAAACTCTGTCGAGGTCCATCCTTCTCTCTCCCCCTTGTCCCTTCCCTCCTCCTGTCCACTGTCTTAGGGGCTGCGGCAATTACACGTGGCAGGTACTGAACATATCCTCCCAAGTGGGTGTAATCGAAGACGAACAGGGCGGGTATCGAGGGTTTGGGCTATACATGTCGTCTGACATGCGAGCAGATAAGAACGCACAGTCTCAACATTGCTGTCGTTGCCAACGTCGTGGCCCCCCCCGCGACCCGCCCCGCGACCAACCCGCGAGCCACCCCGTGACCCACCTGCCCGCCCCCTCTATCTCACTCGCAGTTGTGGGTTGCTATCTTCCTCCCGGACGGGGAGGGCCGAAGAGTCTTCGACGTTCCGTGGGCCCTCCCTGACTCTTATCCGCAATTGCGCGGCTCGGGAACTTTTGCTGAGCGTGTCGCCGCGGCGGCCCCAGCGACACGCCTTGCTGTGCAGGCGCATGGCGTGTTGCTCGGCTCCGCGGGGCGCGAGGCTCGGAAAGGCTAGGGACGTTGACATATGGGGATTTGGAAGTGGATGCGGTTGGGACGTTCGTTAAGGAATGTGCACAGGAGGCTTCAGACCCTGGATGATGCCTTATCTGATGAGGGCGGTGGTGATATCCCTGGCCAAGCCTCAATTGGATTCCCACCGGCTCTCACATACCGGATTCTTTATCGAATGGTTCTTTGTCCAGTGCCCTCACCGTAGCGTGGTCGCGCCAGAGCGTGGTGTGCCGAGCGTGATCATTTTGTCAATGCCTACTTCGAGCGCCCAGAGCGACGACGACAGCGACGCTGGCGGCCGCGGCGGCCGCGCGCCCCCGCGCCCGACCGCAGGCCGAGCTGGGCGAGGCGCGCGCCGCCGCGGCGGAGGCGGCGGCCAGCGCCGAGGCGGGCGCCGCCGAGCTCGGGGAGGCTACCGCCGCGCGAGCCCTGGCCTGCATTGTTCCAGGAAGTTGATTACACGACGCGCGGCCCGCTATTGTGCCCACATCTGCGAAGACGTCCTGCGGATTCTTCCAGGATGTCCTGAGATCTCCAGCGGCCCCCCCGCCGTGGTGTGATCGGGGGGGCGAGCTTTCCCCCTCGCCCGTCGGTCACCCCCGTCATCGCCAATGATTCAAAACGGGGTCTTGGGCGAGAGATGAACGCACATCGTGTGCCGGCGTCGCGGAAAAGTGGCCTCTCGCCGGAGTGACCCTTCTGGGGCGGCTCAGAGGCCTCCAAGCTTTGGCCCGCGCGCTTGGATTCGACCGCCCGCGGGGCCCCTGAAGCCGAGCACCGAGGGTCACTGTTGCCCATGGTCGCTCGTTGCGTGTGGCCGAATGTGGCCACCTGTCTCGCCAGCGCTCGGCCCCATGCATGGCGAGGCGCGCTGGCCCTCCGCGGGTGTCTATCCAGCGCGTGGCCTCTCCAGCCGTTCCGCACGTGGGCCCAGCCACGTGTGCGCGTGTGTTCCCAGCTTCCTGGTAGCCGACGCCCCCCTCCTCCCGCCCCGTTTCCCCCCCTCCGCTCCCGCTCGCACCCCTGTGCTGCTCGTGTTGGCCCCTGGCGCGCGCGCCGCCCTCGAGCGGCCTCCGCGCCCAGGGGCGCTGGACTTCCTCTCCCCCGCTCCCCCCCCGCCCTGGGAGGACGGAGCGCGCAAAGGACACAACCAAGAGGGAGCAGGGAGGACTCTCCCTCGCACCCCCCTGCCCCCCCCCCTCGCCTGCACTCACCAGAGACGCGGAAGAGCAAGCCACAGCACGGGCCACTATTTCGCGGAGGTGCGCGCAGGTGTCGTGCTATATATTCGGACGACCTCATCGGTTCCTGGAGGCTTCTTCGCCCCGGGATGCGTTCCAGCGGCTGCGTCTCGGGAGGGCGCTCCGGGGCTGCCCGGATCGCCCTGGCCCGAACGGCCGCCGGAGAGCAGAGTTATGACGCGAAAGCAAACACGAAAGATGGCGTAAAGGTGAACTTTTGGAGGTCCGCGCGGGTTTCTTGGATCGGTGCTGGGACCCCCTGGCGGCGCCTCGGGCGCCGCGCGCCAGGAAGGGGGGGTCCAGCGCCGATCCAAGAAATCCACGCGGACACCCGGAAATGGATTTTTATGCCGTTGGTTGTTCGTCTATCCTTCTCTCTCCTCGCGAGAGGCGAGCGCCGCACGAAGCTTGTTCAAGGATGCGCGAAGGTTCTGTATGACAGATGTTTGTTGATTTGTTGTCGCCGCTGTCGCCCGAGGCCACGTGTGACACAGATTTTGGTGCAGACAGGGTTCAGAGGAGGAGAAGGTCAGAGCCAGGGGGAAGGTTCGGGCGAGGGGGGGGCGCAGTTTCGAGAAACCCTTCCGCGGCTTGAAAACTGACCATGCAGGCGTTTCTCGAAATTCCGCCCCCCCCGTCCCCTCTCATTGAAAACCGCTGAGTTTCTCCATATTGTTTGCTTGAAACCTATTTTGAGAAACTGCAATTCCGCTTGATTGTCGGCCCGCAGAGGAGTTTCTCAAAATTCGGCCGTGGCGACAAGCGGAATTTTGAGAAATTCCAATTCCCCCCGATGAATGGATTGCAGACGAGTTTCCCAAAATATGTTCTACACACGCAATTCCACGAAACGCCTGTAACGCCACGTACCGTGTGATGGGCCTGGGCCCCGCAATAAGACGAAAGCGCCCGGCGTGGCAAAAGTGCAACGCCCCGAACTCAGATTGTCCAGCGACGATGGGGGGCAAAGACTCCCCTCCCTCGACCACTGGCGGCGGCAGAGGTGGGCGGGTTCGGAGCCAGATGGGAGGGGGGCCCCCCCGCGGCCGCCGGAGGCGGAGCGGGAGCGCGCGGGGCTGGAGGCGGAGACGCGGAACGCCGAGGACGCGCGCCCCAATGGCCACGCGTCGTGGCAGGCCGAGGGCCGCCTTGGGTTCGGCAAGGGGCCCGTGCGATACAGCCAATCGGAGGTTCAGCTCAGAGTCGGCCCCTTTGGGCCAGCTCTCAGGGCCTGCAAGGGGGCCCAAGATGCGCCCAAGGAGGCTCCAGCACTGGCCCAGGGAGGCCCTTTCCGGCAACGCTGAAAGCACGACATGCGAGCCGCGCTCCCGTTGTCTCCGGAAGCCTCGCGCGAGCCGCCCCCAGGCAGCGCCGAAGAGCTCCGGGCAGGCCCCCAGGGGGCGCCCGTGAGTCTGGGCATTGGGCATCCCGACAGCAGTGTCGGGCAGCTACTTCCCAGGCTCGTTCCTAGGAATTGCCAAAAAGGACTCGGGAAGAAAAGCTGGTGTCGGGGAAATGGTCCTGAGCCTTGGGGGTCCGCGTTGCAGTCGAGGACGTTGAGATAAGAGCCGCTGTGAGCCCAGGGAAGGGACCCTCCTGAGTCAGGAGACGTTCGGGGGGATAGGCTCGGGGGGAGGGGAATGCATCGACCCCCAATCGGCCGTTGACCGTCGATGGGGGCACCATACTCCCAACCTGCCCAGGAGCGTGCGGATTCGGTATCGGAGACCTTTCGCCGATCCGTCGGCCATGTATCGCCGATTCAAGGTCGATGTTTCCCACTGGGAGCTGGTCCCCCGCTGATGTTGTCCCTGACTGGGTCAGCTGCTGCGACGTGGAATCCTCTGGTTATCTGCTGATAATCTGGCGCGTTCCATGCCGTCTTGCATTATGGGTGGTAATGACTGTAGAAAAAAAGAGTTGGACTCGGGAGGGGCCCTGGTTTTAGCGTCGTCCCTTGGGCCTCGGATCCAGGTCGGAAAAGCCCCTCCGATCTTTACTCAGCGTTCTCACGATTACTGCATATCGCCGTCGTCGGTCGGGCGAGGAGGAGGAGGAGGAGGAGGGAGGGGAGGCAAGAATTCGGCTACGTGCAAGAGATGCCCTTCGCCCGAGGCTCTTGGTTGGCTAAACATTTTCGGATTGGTTTGTCGGTTCTAGCGTGTGTTCCTGCCACCGACTGCCTCCTGGCACCTGCGCCTCGCCGAGAGCGTTCTGGGGGTGCCCGTATCGTCCTGAACGACCGCCCAAGGCCCAAGATATGACTCGAGTAAGAGTAACCCTTCGCCAGAGTGACCTCTCGTGCGCTGCTTTCGGGCGGCGGGGGGGGGAACCCCAAGGATGCAGGCCGCTACTTACGTACTGTAGTATCGCATGCAACGATCAGCAAGCCGTGCACCAAAGGTCACTCGTGCCTAGGATCACCCTTGCGTGTAGCCGATGGGTTGAGGAGCAAGGAGGGAGTACCCCTACGTCCTGCGCGTCGAAAAACAGGTAGGGCGTGTTTCTTCCGGCTTCTCTGCCTTTGGGGGTCCTCGCCAGGCCCCAGGACCGTCAGGGCACGACCTGGGTCGGGAATCTTGGGGCCACCACCGGAGCAGGTCACGGCGTCGGAGGTCTGGGCTGGACGTGCGAAGTCTCAGGAAATCGCTGCTCGATGTATGCTGTCTGGGGGGGGGGAGGACCGACCCGGGGGGGGCGGGAGGTGGTGGGGGTGGAGTGAGGGGGAGCGAAAGAGAGGGGTGAAGAGGAGGGGGGAGGGGGAGGAGGGAGGAGGAGGGAGGAGCGGGAGGAAGAGAGACTGGGGGGAGGGAGGGGTGAGGCAGGGAGGGAGGGAGGGAGGGAGAAGGAGGAGGAGGAGGATGACCCAGACTTCCGACGCCGTGGTTTCTTTCTCAGCGTGGGCTTGCACAGTCATGGCGCTGAAACTAGGTCTGGCTCGGGTTCGGAAGGTGCTCGGTGGTTCCTTGGGTCTGCTTGCGTTCCCTCGCAATTTAGCCAGGAAGCCCTCCTCGGTGTTCCCTGGGAGGGGAGGGGTAATTTTTGGAACGAGAGGCAAGGACGAGGGAACTCCTCTAAAAAGGGGCTCGGCCTTTCTTTAGACATGTATGACTTGCTTTTGAAAAAGGCTTTTCGTTCCGTATGCATCGTTTCTTCTGATAGCGCCATGACTGTAGAGCTCTCGACCCCACCGCCAGGACTGGCCGATTGCACCAGATGGCTTCTGGACGGCCCCATGGCGCGACACGGGCCGCCATGATACCCAGGAAGACGCCCGTCGTTTAAGATGCAACTCTTGGGAGGTTCAATTCAGTGTCGGCGCTAATATGTCCGTGGTCGAACACCGACCTAATCTGCGTATCCCTGTGCATGCTCGCCTAATCCCGCTCATTCTAGGCCAGTCCAGCTCAAATCCTGGGCTGAGTCCAGGCTAATCCGGCTTAGTGGCCCACCAAGCGGGCATCATACGGCTGGCGTTGGAAAGATAGCGTGCGACGTGGTGCTGCCGCTGATGACACGCTCGGTGTCGCCTTGCGGACTGCACCGTGCGTCGGAGAAGCCTTGGCAGGGGGACCGCGTGCACAGTGCACAGAAGAAGAAGACCTCGCGGGGGGATCGCCCCGCAGGGACAGCGTGTTCTTCGGAGGTCGATCTTGCCCGCTACCTTTCCAACGCCAGTCGCGATACCCCCTAATCGTTCTCACGGAGACTTCCCAGGAGTTGCCTTCCAACGCCGCAGTTCTTACCGCACTGCCCCCTAATTGTTCTCATGGAGACCCCTCCCAGGAGTTGCCTGCTAGCGTCGCAGTTCTTCTTCGCGACGCCCGGGTGTTCGAGGAGGAGGAGGGCTCGGTAGCAGCTCTCGGGAGCTTCGAATGCCCTCGGCACTCTGTCGTTTGCGTGCACTGGCATGCGGTGGTGTCTGGTGGTTGGCGGTACAGCGCCGAGCTGGCGTCGAATGTTTCATGCGTCGCGTATCCCCGCCAGCCCACTCAGAAGCCCTGCCCATGAGAGCGGACTGGAAAAGGGGCAGAGGGTTCGAATCTCTGGAAGGGCTTGGAGCAAGAGTTTTGCGACCACGCCAGGGATTAGTGGACTGGCTCTCTTACTCACATCCTGTGCGTGGACTGTGCTGTGGGCACGCCGCTCATCAGCATGTGAAGGGGCTGCGGCCCCGGCGCGCTGCCCCCTGGGGGGGCGGAACTCCAGGTCCGCCAGATATGCGCGTCCCATCCATCCGTCCGTCCTGGGGCCCGCGTGGGGGCGAGGGCATTTGCAGGAGGAGGAGGAGGAGGAGCATGAAAAGGAGGACGACGACGACGAGGACGACGACGACGAGGACGACGACGACGACGGCGACGACGGCGACGACGGCGGCGGCGGCGACGACGAGGACGATGACGACCACGACCACGACCACGACCACGACCACGACCGCGACCGCGACCACGACCACGACCTCGGCCGCGACCACGACCACGACTTCGACGACGACGACGAAGAGGAGGAATAGGAAACGGAAAACGATGAGGGCAAGGGCGAGGACAAGGACGAGAAGGAGGAGGAACGAAGGACAGCAAGCACGAGGACAGAGCCCTCAAAATCGCCTCTTGGAGTCATCTTTTGGGGCTTTTGGGCATATTGTGGTCCTCTTGGGGCTCTTTTAGAGGGTCTAGGTGCCCTCTTGCCTCTTGAGAGTCCTGGAGGGCCTCCCGAGGCCATCTTGGAGGCCATCGATCAAAAGAGGGGGTCCCAAATTTGCCTCCAGCCCACGGGGCCATCAAATCGCCTCTTGGGGCGCTCTTGGGACGCTCTTGGGCCGATTTTGGGCGCTCGTGGGGCCGTTGTGGGGGCCTCTTGGCCCCCCCACCTTGAGGCTCTCTTGGGCCATCTTGGGATCATCATGCGGTCACAGTAGCGCATCGGAAGCGACAAGGCGAGAAGGCCACCATCATTGGTTTGCCATCGGTTTTAACCTTTAGGGGGCCTCCGAGGGCACTTGGAGCCATCTTGCGGCCCTCGTTTGCAGGCATGTCGGAGGCTATCTTGAACCATCTTCGGCCGACTTGAGCCGCCTAGGAGGCCGTCTTGGAGCACAGGATGCCCTCTTGGAGCCATCTTGGGCGAAAAAGGACCCCCTCCCAATTCGCGAATCACCAAAGCAAACTGCAGGGAGGGGAGGGGGAGGGGGCCCCTTCCCGAAAGAATGAGGGTTCTTCGACCACTTTCGCCTAAAGGGCTGGTGGGTGGGAGCACAGAATCAGTGTCGATCAGCGTCGGCTGGCGTCGGCCAGCGTCGTTCCTCGAGAGCCAGCAAGATGGCATGGGAGGCTCCCGCGAGCTGCCACGGATGGAGGCAGAGGCGGCGGATCGCGCGCGGAGGACATCGCCCGCGCCACGGAGGAGCGCCTCGCAGGCCCGCACCCGCGCTCGCCGCGCCGCCCGTCCCGCTCGGCGTCCGTTGCCCTCGCCCCCCCCTCTGCTGCCGCTCCTCCCCGCGCAGCAGAAGTCGCGATTGATTTCTCTTTCTCCTCTGGCGCGTAGCGCTCGCTACAGTCAAGATGCTGGACCAACGTTCGCTCTGGGCTCGGGAGGGGCTCTCCTTGGCTTTCTGTGGTGGAGCCTGTTTGTGGCTGAGGCCCGCCGTGGCCAGAGAAGCCCACTCGTTTCTTACCATGCGTTCCTTCTGGTAGCACGATGACTGCACCTGGGCCCAGCCTCGAGGATCAAACACTTCTAGAAGCGCAGACATCCGGAGGCCCGGTTGGATTTCCTGGATCGGCGTTGGACCCCCTTCATTGGCGCGCGGAGCGCGCAAAGGGCGGCGCCAGAGGCGCCGCCAGGGCGCTCCAGCGCCGATCCAAGAGATGTGCGCGGACCTTTGGAAGTTTACGTTTATGCGATATGTTGTTCCCCGACCTCCCCCGCGGGGTAACGGCAACGATCCTACGTGTAGCAAGAAAATGAGGGAGCTGGACCCGCTCCAAATGGTGGTGCTCGCGCGCACGCTATGGCGATAGCAGCGCACCCCCGCCCCGATGTGCCACCCCGCCTCATGTTACCGTTACCCGGGCCCCCACTCCCGGGGTGATGACCGTGGCCCGCTTTTTTTCGAGCTGAAAGTCGTGCTCGACCTGAAACTCATTCAACGCCGCAGTTTGCAACGACTGGCTGCGAGCATCGACCTGCGCCTCTCTCCGTCGGGGTGAGGATCTGGTGGTGCGCGATCTCGGTTCACGTGGCTCGTGATGCGAACGGCACGCGCGCGCAGTGCAGACCAGGCGGCCTGGCCCGAGGGGCACTTGCGCTTCTGGGGGGCTGCTGCCGGACAGCAGATTCTCCAACGGCTCACTACGACCTCTGGGCCTGCGGCCTGCGCGGCAAGGCGGTTCGGAGTGCGTCACTCCGAGCTCCAACCTCCTGGGCGTCGGGGGAGAATCGCACCGGGCGCTCCTCGTCTCGATCTCGGCCTCGGGTGGGGGGAAGACCCCAAGGAGGGCATCAACCACCTTGTCACCAAGCGCGAGGGAAGCGTGGTGGCACGGAGAGGGGGGCGCAGAGAGGGGGGGGTGGGGGCACCACGAGGGGGGCGAGGGGTGACGCGCGCCCGAACGCCACGCCGTGGATTCGCTAGCCGATCGGGCGTCCCCGTCCGCTCCCCCAGGCGCTCCGCAGGGCGGCCCGCCACGCGGCGCCGGCTCCCCCCGCGCGCACCGTGGCGGAACATCTCAGGCAGTGCCACCGGGGGTCACCACCGAGAGGGTCGCCGGCTACTCCTGGAGCTTCGGGGATCCAGGGCCTGGGAGATGCTGGATGATGCGGATCGCTTCGGGGGGGGGCTCTGGGTGGCTTTAGGGGTCCATCGGGGCCGTGCTCCAGGAGGGGTCGACCTCCCCACAGGCTTAGTTTTACCCGACCGATCCGATTCGATGCCGATGCTGGCCGGCCCGATCCGATTCGGTTCCGAGATTCCGACGATCCGGTGCGGCCCGATGCGTGCATGGCGCTGTTGTGCATCCTGCCGCAAGCGTTCCGATTCGATTTCGGTTCCGTGCCGATGCAGCCTCCAATCCGATGCAGATTCGTTTCGATCCGGTTACCGAGTCGATGCTGACTGATCCTGCCCCCTGGAGACCGTGCCACGGGAATGGGGTGGGGAACTCGTGGGGGGGGGGGGGGGCCCGCATCGGGGGGCGATCTCGCGGCGTCGGAGGCCTGGGTCACGGTCTGGCTTTCCGCCTGCTCTGCATCCCTGTCTTTTATCGCGGCGCGGTTTCGAGGCCGCCCGTATTGCTCGCGAAGGTCTAGATTGGAGCGCGCGGTTCCGCCTTGGAGCCGTCTGGGGGTCCGAGGTGGCCAGGCACTGGTCCGGGCCAGCGGCCAGCGGGGGGGCCGGGTTTGAGGTTCTGCGTTCGGGAAGGTGGTTTGCTCTTTCTGGTCTTCAGGGGGCGTTTATGGGCTTCAATAAAGCCCAGAAGCGGTCATGAGTCATGAATCATGACCGTCACAAGCGGATCTGGGGTGACCCGCTTTGCCAGGTGGACCCCCGGAGGGGTCTGGCGAACGATGCTGAGCGGATGCGGCAGCTTCTCTCCATGCCCGGCCAGCTCAGACATCCTGGCTGCCTCCCATCGCTGCCCCCTGCCCTCCGTGGCCGATGCCGGCGGTCCCTGTCCACGGGGAAGGTTCGCTGACCGTGTGGCCGCGGGCGTTGCCCTCTCGAGGCGGAAGGTCGCTTGCCCAACAGAGGCCGTTGTCGCTTCTGGGCAGCAGTTGCTGTTGGGCATCGCCCCTTTCTCCAACTGCTCCTTGTCCTCCTGCCTCTGCTGATTCTCATGGTCCTCCCCTGCCTCGTCCGCCCGAGGCATGGTGTCTACGGAGGAGATCCAGCGAAGAGAGGCCAGCCGCACGTTTGCATCTCCTGTTCCCTCGGTCACGCTGGCATCTTCGCTTCGCCATGCATGTTATATCGCGCATCCTCTTCACGACCGTTCCCATCTTATTTCAATATCATGTTGCCGTTCTCCACTTCCTCCCCTCTCTGGAGGCACGACCGCCGGTTGCCATCCCATGTCCTCATCCTCGGCCTCTGCCGCGTGCCCTCCTGACCTTCTGCTCCCTCCTCCTCGCTTTCCCCCTCTCCGTGCATCCAGCTCTTCCCTTCACTCCTCCTTGTCCTCCACCTCCTCATTCCCTCGTTTCCGCTTTGCCTCGAGATCATGTTCGGGACAGGCTTTGGACCATCACTGCATGTCTACCGAGCGCCAGCGGTTCAGGAGCCCACGGCAGTGCAGGAGCGCACGCCGTGGGCTGCTGGAGCGCTCGCGCTGTGTAAAAATGTATCGTTCGCGCGCTAGCACTGGGCTACTGAAACCTCGGCCTCAACCAACACATACGTACCCACCTGGTCAGAAATCCCACTGGCAACGGACTCCACGGACTGTACCTCTTCTTTTCCATATCATAGAGGGCGCACTTGCAGGCACCAGCCAGGCAGTTCGACTGTGCGTCCCAGGCAGCAGTTGGATCGTTCGATTGGGCAGGTCGATTCACCCCGATTGCATTCCGGCGTCTTGATGCTCCGTGCGCTTTGGAATGGGTGCCGACTGCCTCAAAGCTATGCTTGGGTTATGACCCCCGCTCCTCTATCTCCACTCCCCCTTCTCTCCCCGTTCCCTCTCTCTCCTCCCTCCACTTCCCTCCCCCTTCTCTCCCTTCCCTCCCCGTTCCCTCTACTACCTTCCCTCCCCGTTTCCGCTCCCCCCGTCTCCCCTCCACTCCCGTCCCTCCCATGTCTCTGCTTGCCCCTCTCCCCTCTTCCCTCCGTCTGGTTCCTCGTCTCCTGCCTGGTCGTCCGCTCCCCTCCTCCATGTTCGCTCTGCCCATGCCTCTCTGATGCCATCACCGTGACCTGCGGCCACAGCGTGCTCGCTCCTGATGGCGCTGCTGTTAGTAATGCGGTCGAGAACTTGAAGAGGGAGGCACGAGGAGGAGCAGGAGGAGGAAAGGAGGCGCAGGAGAAGGAGGACCAGGGAGACGAGCGGGAGAGAAGGAGGCCGAGAAGGAGGAGGAGAGAGAGGAGGAGGGAAGAAGGGCAGGAGTTGGAGGAGGGAAGGAGAAGAACGAGGAGGGAAGGAGGATGAGGTCGAGGCGGAGGAGACAGCCAAGGTAAAGGAGGGACGCAGGGCGGGATCTGCAGGAGAGAAAGGGGTGGAGGAGGCACGGATGACGAGGAGGGACAGAAGGACGAGGACGCTGAGGACGAGGAGGTAGGCAAGACGAGGGCGAGGACGAGGACGAGGAGGAGGAGGAGGCGGAGGAGGAGGAGGAGCAGCATGGTTGTCTTGTGGCGGCCTGCTGCACGGCGCCGCACAGCCGCGGGGGAGGCAGAGTCCGAGAGAAGCCGCGAAGCGATCCGGGAGGCGGTCCGGGAGCGCCCCGCCAGCCCTTGCAGATCGGATCGGGTCGGCTGTCCACGAATCGACTACACGTGAGAGTGGCCCATGGCCGGAGTGACTTGTGGTGCGGGCCCTTTGGGGTCCCCCGATGGCCGAGCGCGATGCGATAGTGGCGTCTCGCGCGCTTGTGTTTGGTCCCCCAGCGGCACCCAAAAAGCCGCGCACCAAAGGTCACTCTTACCCAGGGTCACTCTTGCGTGTAGCCAAACGAAGGAGGGGTCGATCCCCTACTGCCTGGCGATCGCCGAGCCCATGTGGTCCCGACGATAGAGGATGGCCCCAGAAGGGGCCAGGGAGAGCTCAGGGCCCTAAACCCCGAAGCCATGTCCGAGACAGTGGCGAGCAACATACAGCAACACAATATTATCCTGGCTAAGGACCCGACCATATGCTGTTGTGGGTACCGCAATTGTGAGTCTCTTCTTCGGTGGAGCTCCCCATGGGCCACGAAGCGCTGCACTGGGTGGGAGGGAACCCATACGGTCGGTAGCACTGGGGTCGTCGGTGGAGCTCCCTATGGGGCCACGAAGCGCTGCACTGGGTGGGGGGCGGGCGGTACCACTGGGGTCGTCGGTGGAGCTCCCTATGAGGCCACGAAGCGCTGTGCTGTGTGTGTGTGGGGGACGCATGCGGGCGGTACCACTGGTGCCTTCGGTGGAGCTCCCTATGGTGCCACGAAGCGCTGTACTGGGTGGGGGGGGACGCATGCAGGCGGTAGACCTGGAACCTTCGGTGGATCTCCCTATAGGGCCACGAAGCGCTGTACTGGGTGGGGGGTCGCATGCGGGCGGTAGCACTGGGACCTTTGGTGGAACTCCATCTGGGGCCACGAAACGTGTGAGGGGTGTGCCGAAACTGGTGTGTGGGACGTCTGCGGGCGGTGGCATTGGGGCATTCGGTGGGGCCCGTATGGGGCCACGAAGCGCTGTATTAGGTGGGGGGGCGCATGCAGGCGGTAGCATTGGGACCTTCGCTGGAGTTCCCAATGTGGCCTCGAAACGTCTGAGAGGTGTGCCAAATCAGGTTTTTAGGACGCATGCGGGCGCTGGCACTGGGGCCTTCGGGGTCACGAAACGTGTGAGGTGTGTTTGCGTGTGTGTGTGTGTGGGTGTGCCAAATTTGGTTTTCGGGACGCATGCGGGCGGTGGCACTGGGGCCTTCGGTGGAGCTCCCTATAAGGCCACGAAACTTGTGAGGGGTGTGTCAAATTGGGTTTTCGGGACGCGTGCGGGCGGTCCATTGGGGGCTTCGGTGGAGCTCCCTATGGGCCACGAAACGTGTGAGGGGTGTGCCAAATTTGGTTTTCGGGACGCATGCGGGCGGTGGCACAGGGGGCTTCGGTCGAAACGTGTGAGGGGTGTGCCAAATTGGGTTTTCGGGACGCATGCAGGCGGTGGCACTGGGGGCTTCGGTGGAGCTCCCTATGAGGCCACGAAGCGTTTGAGGGGTGTGCCGAATTGTTTTCCGGGACGCATGCGGACGGTCCCACTGGGGGCTTCGGTGGAGCACCCTATGGGGCCACGAAACGTTGTACTGGGTCGGAAAAAGCAGGAAGGAGGGAGGAGGGGCAGGAGGGGGCGGGAGGAAGGAGGAGGAGCGCGGGGACCGTCTCTTCAAAACGAGGACCCCACCATAGGATGGTTGGGAACTAAGAATTCGACTGATCGAGGACTCCTCCCTCCTACCTCGCCCCCCCACCTCGTCGAAGCCCTTGCAGAAGGGGGCAGGAGAGGGGGCATGAGAGGGGTGCAGCAGGAGAGGCTTTCAGGTTCGGGGCTCGAATTCCTCGGACATTGTCGGTTGCAGGTGGTTTGCCAGCCTCGGGGTGCGCTCTGGCAGCTGCGCCCCTCCGAGGGCTTTCTGGGTGTGGCCAGATCGTCCCGATCAGCCACCCGAAGCTGAGTTATGACCTGAAAACCAACGACGTACTACATACGGGGGTAAGCGGGGAGGGGTGGGGTGCAACAGGAGGCTGGCTCACTTGGGAGCGATTCGGCCCGTCACGGGGCTGCAGTGGAGGCCGTCGATCAAAGAGGGGGGGGGCCGAGGAGTCGCGAGACCCCCAGTCCAGACCCAGGGACCCAGGGGGAGGGGGCAACTAGCAAGGGGGAACAAGGGGGCAGGATGGAAGCTGATACGCCCTGGGCCACCCCAGCCCAAACTGCTGGTGGGACCCTGGAGCTCCCAGAACGTCGGGTCAGGAACTCTTGCTCAGCGTGTCGCGCCACCGGTTCTGTCCCATGCGCCGCACCTTTGCGAACATGTCCGGTTTTTATGCCCACGGCAACGCACGGTTCAACACACGCCATTTCTATGTGTGTCTCACCCAGTTGTTTGGTGACGGCATCTCATGGGCAACCACGTGTGAGCTACTTGCGGACGTCGGGTAACCTGGACTGACTTTCTACCAGAAGTCACGCATTTCGTGGCGTTGTGGATTTTCGGTCGCGCTCCAGATGAAATGCACGATGGCGACCAGTTCTCGCCAAGCTGGGATCTGTTCGCGGAAGCTCCACCGATCCCAACGGCCACGTGCGGGAGTCAACGTGGACAGGAGGGCCTTGCATTTCATTCCCACGACGCTTCGTCGGACTGGACCAAGGAAAAATGGGGCAGATGGCGCATGGATCGGGGACAGATTTTGGACAATGTGGCAGGCACAGAATACACGCATGGGCTGGCACATTTTTCAGAAGCGCTCCCAGGAGCTTCCCGACCCCATGATCTCTGCACTGTGCAGGGCCTCGAGGTTCCCCGTGGCCACTATCTTCCAGCTGCGTCATTGTTGGCCCTACCGACGTTCCCCGTCCAGAATCCAGAACTACCGGAAGATATGGAGGTGGAAGGGCAGCTCGAAGACGTGGGTATTTGTAAGGAGGTCGACGATGGCATCGACGACGACGGGGATGACGTGGATGGCGACGAAGACCCACAGGACCAAACGCAGACCAGCCACATGTTCACACTACGGCTCACCAGACCAGCGGCCGACGGGGAGATCTTAGTGCTGATCTGGAATGAGATGCTCGGGGACGACAGCGAAAGATGGGCTTCACCAGCTGCCCCACTCGCTTGCAAAAACTATTCGCGTTTGAAAATCAGGCATCTGCTGCGCAATCACGTCTCCGCTGCCGATCCTAGAGAATGGGATATGCTGTATGGCCCTCCACATCGGGTCGACGCTGGCTGCTACGGTGATGTGCTACGCTGCATCATTCACATATCCGATGCAATGGATCGCCACGTTGATCTCGACCCACAGCATGGTCGATTCGCGCCAGAGGACGAAGTAGAGTCTTGCCTCGTCACGGCAGAGACCACGAAAAAGGCAGATAGGGCTGCAGCGCCGCGCAAGGAGGACTCCTCCTCGGCTGCCGCAGCGCGGGCGGCTAGGGTGCAGGCTGCAAGGAGGAATCGGGGACTGGTGGAGCTTCGCTGTGAGGTACCGCCCCCCTCGTCATGGTGAAGTTGCTCCTGTTCGCTCTTTGGAGTCGGAGTGGGAGTCCTTGCGCCACGTGGCGATGACTGCCATTATTGTGGGGGATACGAATGCGTACAATCAGTGGCGGTTACAGCATACGCCAGCTGTTCCGCCCAGCTGTTGGAAATCTGGAATCCGTCGGCTTCGTGGCAGCTCGGACATATCACGACAAGAGGCTGTTCGATCTTATTGACCCAGGTCACCTGGCCATTCTACGGCGCTCCATATTCGGCATGATGCGCGCGCAACATGTTGCCAAACGATATCGCGAATTGTCGTGCTGGCCAGGATTTTCAAAGGAGGCTGCAGCACAGGGCCAAGTTCTCGGCCGGTTGGCCGGGCTGGCAGGAGATGCTCCGCGCAGGTGTGTACTTATGAATTTGCTCCTTCATGTCGGACTGCTGCGAGGGTTTGTCGTGGACTTGCAGCGCCGCGCAAGGAGGACTCGTCGTCGGCTGCCGCAGCGCGGGCGGCTGGGCTTCAGGAGGAATCGGAGACCAGTGGAGTTTCGCCCCCGGCGCCGCGAGCCTGGCCCCGGAGCAGCTAGTTTGTGTGCGACGGGGGAACGTGCCCAGGTTTGACTTAGCGAGGGCCCATCGGATTCTGTCGCGGAAGCACCCTCCGCGCGCGAGCGGGTGGAGACGCCATTGCGCGCGCGGTCCCTTCCCCAGAGCGCCGATTCTCGGATTCGTTGCTCCGCGAGTGGGACTCGCTGATCCGTTGGATCCACGACGCCAGCCAATCGACTGAGATGCCCCTGAACGGGCGCCCAAGGAATCATTGCTCTGATCCCATGCAGCGCACACTGGCGCAGCGCGCGTGGCAGCTGATCGTGGGAACGAGAGAAAATTGGCAGGTGCGCGGCCCCCTTGATGCTTCTTGGCTGTTACGCACCACGGGCGACCAGTCGTTTTACAGGTTCGGGGGCAAATCCTGGGAGCCTGACGTGCCCTGCTGATCCTGTCTTCAGCGTCGACGACGAGCGTCGGTTAGCGTCTGGGAGTCGATGAAATAGCGCCGATGCAGCGTCGATTAGAATCGAGTAGCGTCGATTCAGCGTCGATTTAGCGTCGACTTGCATCAATTCGCAAGAGCCAACAAGACGGCATGGGGGGGGCCGCGAACTGCCGCTGAATCAGGGGACGCGACCCATGCCACAGTGCCAGCATGGTTCTAGACAGATGTTTGGCCAGGTCCGTCACCAACGGCGCACTGCGAGACTTCCACGGCGCACCCCATGACTTGGCCATGGCAGAGACAAAGTACACCCGGGCAAGGACTCTCTCTTTCCCCACTACGGTTGATCACCCTGAGTTGGGTTGACATTTTCGTGCATGCAGCGACGCGTACTTCAGCGGGTTGAGCGACAGCTAGCTGAAGGCCCTGCTACATCAGTTTCGTCAAGTGGGTCCAAAAGCCAACATGCATATGTCCCGGTTGCGCGCGAGATTGCTCAGGGCCGCTCCGAAATCAAGAAGGCGAACAACATTGGGAGT